ATTTGTCCATCAGTTTGAAGATGATAAGCCGTTGACATTGCTAATTTTGTTATGAACAAACTAAACAAAGTTTTCCAAAATAAACTAGTGAAGTGAGTAACTCTATCTGTGATTAACACTTTGCTTAAGCCATAATTCACAAAAACTGCATTTGTATACAAGATGTGGAGCTGTTATCATTTTTGTGGTTGATCTGATATGAATCATCTTGCTCGATTTGTACACAAAAACCACCATTATTGAAATCATAAGTTGGTGGCAGCATATCTAAATAATGACGAAAGATATGGTTCATCAATATCATGAATGTAGCTTGTGCATTAGTGAAATCAAAAGTCATCATTAGATACTCAAAGTGGCCATATCTAGTACAAAAAGCTGTCATGTGGACACATTCATCTGTAATTCAAATTTGATTGTATCTGTTTTTCAAATCTAGCTTGATGAAGTACTTTGCTCCTTGAAGTTGATAAATCAAATCATTCATACAAGGTAACGGATATTTGATTTTCAATGTTTGCTAATTCAACCCTCGATACTCGATACATAGTCTCATGTATCCGTCATTCTTCCTCACATAGAGTTTTAGAGCTCCATAAAGTGAATCACTTGGTTGAATGAATCTCTTGCTAAAATCTCTTTCACTTGAGCTTTGCATTCTTCCAATTCGTTTAAAACCCAAATGATATGAAGTTTTGCAAGTTGATGTACTTCCATGTATCACTTCAATCTTGTGATTTACTCGTCTCTTTGGTGGTAATCTTGCAGGCAGATCATTTGAAAAAATATCTTTATACTCCATAAAAATGTAGTTCAAGGAGTCCGAGATGTAAAGTTTGTCTGTGGATCCAATATCTCTTATAAGCCCAAGGAAACATATATTATTTTTTAAAATTGATATTTTATTAATCATAAAGAAGAATAATTCCTAATCTGAAATCTAATTCTATCTTCATAAATCTTCCAATCACTACTTGTAATCATTGTTCTTCTCCAATCTACCTCCGTATTCTATTGCTCCATCCATGGCATTCCAATGATGACATCATATTGAGCTAAACAAATTACTCTCCATTCAATTCTCTCTTTGTATCTATCTATGGATAATTTTACACTCCGTGGTAGTGAATTTATCACTTAAGTTTGCCCGTTAGGCAGTTCAACTTTCTCAGTCACGTCCTTCATCAACATCAAACCTAACTTCATAGCAACACTCTTTGATTCTCTCTTGTTCCAAGGTCAATTAAAACTTTCACATTATGTACTTACAACAAACCATGAGTTGACAATGAGTTGAGCTTGCTTCTTACTACTTCCATGAGCTCCCAACCATTGTCTTCTTCCAATCTTGCATTATCTTTACTATGTAGAACAAGTAAGACCGCGAGGCAAGTTTATTGATGATATTCGTGTCTCAAACTTCTTCCTCCACATCTTCATACTCTATCATCTTCATGTTGTTGAACGATCGTTGCTGTATGGATCGTACTCCTTGTAATGATGCTCGAATCCAAAAAAACTTGGCAATGTGACCCATTCATTCACATACATAGCATCAACAATTGTCATGAACTCCAACTTCTCCTCGAACCATTCCGTTATTTGTATAACCTTCTTGCAAATTTGAACTCCTGATTGCTGAATCTCACCTTCAAATCTTGGCGTTGATCTTTTTATTGGTGCAAAATCTTTTCAACGTCGAAGGTTTCTCAATTTCATCGGTGTAGGGGCAGATGGATCTCAAAAATTGCTTACTGGTTCACCGTGTGTGACACCAAAAGAACCCAAAATTTGTTGACCAATTGTGATTGCTTCATTCATTGTAGATGGATTGTTTACCATCAACTCTTTTCAAATTTGATTCTTCAAGTCTCGTTTGAATACGTCCGAGGCTTCTGCTTCACATATATCTTTGATAAATACTTGAAAATCACGAAATTCTTCAATGTATTCATGTATACTTCATTTCTGCTTCAAATCCCACAACTTCATTCTTGCAATTTGAAGAGAATAAACCGCTTGAAAATTTTGCAAAAGTGATGAAATTGTCGTTCGAGAGATTCAAACAAAAATTACACTCATCATACTTATTCACTTGCTTCAAGACTAAGTATGCAAATGAAGTATGACAATACTCACATCTTGAAACCTATTGTAAAGTCATACTCGAAATAGTCATACAATCATATGAGAAGGAAACACTTATGTAGCTCAACATGGAAACAATTTTGAATTGTTTGAAGCGATGAAATAAATAGATAGTAATCATTGAAAGCCTTAGACTTCGATGCTTTGAACCAACCATCACCGACAGCGCGTTTTCAACAAAGAGTGCACCTAACAATATTAAATACATCAAAAAATTTATTTTGATGTACTTAACATGAAAAAAATTTAATATTCAATTTAATTTCACATGCATCCTGATTATAGCTGAATAAAATTAATTTACCCATATAATAAAAACTAACATACACATTAAATATCAGCTAAATTCAATTAGCCTAAATTTTGGTTAAAGAAAGTGAACATGTTCTTTCTTCTTTCAAATTAGATTTATTTATCAATTTGCAATCTAAATTATCACAGTTTTTTTTTAATTATTCAAAAAAATTACATTTGTCATTTCTTAAAATCCTCTTGGAATTATTAAGACTTGTAGTATTTTTACATCAGCGAAGCTTGCATCAATTATGTGAATTGTGATTGGCTTGCAGAACTCAGATTCAATTCGCAAAGTGTAATTTGATTAAGTGATTTTACTTATAATTTTAAAATTATTACAATTTTTATGTATATCAATTAAAAAAAAAATTACCAAGTTTTTTTTGGGAAAAAACGATACCAAGTTAATATGATTGATTGCTTGCAGTCGTTCTGATTCTAGATTTTGCTCATACCATTGTACAAGAAGTGAAGAATTTCAAACATGAAATTTTTGTACATACAACTTTATTTTGATAAATAATAAAATCAGGATATTTTACTTAGTGATCCAATGCTTTTGATAGCAAAACTAGAGAAATAGTGATTTGTGTTTTGTATCTACATTGGTATTAACATTTCTGAGTCTGCAAAATCCAAGCTTAAATAGACACTTAGTATACTTTCAACATATTTAGTATGTTCGAATGTAAGATAACTCACTTTGAAAGTTAAGTGAAATTAGATTTAGTCGAATTCATTGTCTTTCTTCACTCTTAATACAATCTGCAAACATGTTCATTTGTAGATTAGTGAGTTTCAAAAATACACAATAAATCCCATTCATATAATTTGTATCCATGACTCCGTTTTTTTAGTTATCTCTCAACTAAACTAGGTATCATTATCCAAACTCATTCTTAAATTAAAATTTTTCATCTTTTTAATGAAAAATTCTCAATGTTTTGAACAAACTATGTTGACTTGAAATAAAACTGGCAAAATTCACAGCACGTTTCTATATAAAAAATTATCATCCCTCATTTTAAATAAGTATTCCAAGCTTTCATCATAAGAAAAAAAATGCTTGGAATTTTAAATATCTTATTTTCCAGAAAAATAAGCATTAAAGGTTGCAAATTCCTGCACTTAGATAAACTATCAGGTTCTCTCGAGCAATTTGTCATGCGAATCTAGCAAGAGTTCACTTTCAGCCATCAAGCTCCAAAATGGAAGATTAAAAGTCATTATAAAGTGCGTTGAGCAATTTGAGTTCTTTAATTTTCTTATATTAGGGCGAAGGCAACTTTAAGCAATTTTCTTGCTGACGGAAACACTTGGCTTCTCAACAACGATACACACTTCTCAACTGATATACTTTGTAAGATTTTATCTAGCTTCCAAAATGTAGGATGTCGCAACTTACTTGTTAGGTCGCATTAATGGATCGTACTTGAACCTTCATACTTAAATATAGACCATTATTGTACTAAATATATCGTTACAAGATTTTTCATTCATTAAATTGTCATGAAGCTTGGTGCACATACATCATATCTTTTTTTCCCTCGTCCGGTTCGTTGAGCTTATCGAGTGTTCTTCACACAATTGGCAAACTTTCATTTCGCTAATTTGGACAGCTTGCTTTTGTTGTTCATTTTCACTTCTTGGGTTGTACTTTTAAACGATAGAGAGTTTTTAGATCGTACATTGTGTAGAGTATGCCATTTGTTGTGTGAGAGCTGTGCCAATGTTTACCGCCAAATGAAGCATGCACCAATGTACCCATACTCGTTGTCACAGCCAGTTGGGTATAGGTCCTACGATGAAACGTCAGTTATTCAAGTGGATTCGGTGAAACTTAGGTCCCGATTTGTAATAAGCGTAGGGCACTCTGCTATGACAATTGGGAATTGCGTGGGTTTCGTTGGAAAGATGAACTTTCGTGGATGCACGTGGTTACCTCCTTTGCATTTACATCCTGGGTTTTCAGCAGTTCACATCTCACTTTCAAGGACTTCGTAGCTCTAACAAACGTTAGAGCCACGAGGGATGCGATGTTTCAATGTGAGTTTCTGACCAGCAAGTATACTACAGCAATGGACACCCAAAGACATTCCACGATACCAGGTTCAAGACAACGGTTGAAGCTAACCTTCTCGGTGATTGATCGTTTCCCATAGAAAGGATCGATCGCCTAATTCCCTCTGATTGGACTTTTTTGAGGACAATCCTGGGTAATCCCACATCAAGTCATCTTGTGGATCGTGGGGTAAAATTTACGACTTCCGACAAGACAGCAGGTCTCGTGTCATTCGACGAGATGGAGGCGCAAAGTCAAACGCTGGCAGATTACAACTAGACTCTGAAGAACGTTCTTTATCCTATCGAAGTCATAGAGGATTGTTCCCACAACATTCAGTTATGTCATACACATCCATCAAAACTTCATACTCAGCAGAAAAGCATTAAAAACAGCACTTCACAAAAGGAAAAAACCAAGCACGCTCTATTCCTCAACACCCACTGTTCAGATATTGAGATCCGTCGTGCTGACTTGCAGAGAAGTCGGAATTCATGCACAATGCACCCACATTCATCCGAATAATTGGCTTTTGATTACAAGAATGTGATGGGCATGTTCCCAGACACGCAATGTGCCCACAATTGCTCCCCCTGAACTTGAATTACACGAGGGTAGCCCTTTGCACACAATTCTTACACCGAAGACAGAAGGGGGTTGAAAAGAAAAGACCAGGAAACTCGTGCCTTTAAGGCTCTGGCCCCTTACCCATGAGGTACATTGTATACCGGCCACTGGAGTGGACATGGGCTTCTTTCTCGATCACTATACAGTTACACCTCCATCAGCATATGATGCACAACACAAACTTTTCCTGCCCATACATTCATCTCCTCTGACAGGACAATCTACAAGGGCAACAGCTGGCCCAAATTCACTGAAAGTGTCGGATAATACAAGAGCCTGCTTGGAGCTTGCCAGACTAGTTCTCATTCGATGCTTTGTAAGGAGCAAAGAGAACCGAGGAGTTGTGACCTCCGAAGCCAAAACTGTTGGATAGAGCTACTTTGATATCCAATCTTTGCTTCTTGTCACCAACGATTACGTTCATATCCTGCACATCCGTTGAGTTTTCACTTTCAGCCGTGAACGGTATGAACTTAACTATCGGCTCGCAGTGAGGTCAAAAGACACAGAAGTTGATGCAAACAATTGGCTATCTTCATTGGACAAGAGTTGTACATCGTTCCCTCGGCACAAACACCACATAAAACATCACGCAGAATCGTGGAGACATGGTTCACAGTTGTAGATACTTACCACTTCCTTTTCTGGAGACTGCAAATTAATTGTGGGATGTACCCAACCTGTTCTGATGGCCTGTAACAAGGGAAAAGTAAATTCTTAGAGAAAATTTAGGCAAAGCTACAGTACGGTTGATATCCAAAACGTTCAAGAGTATCCGAATGTACATTAAAATGACTAATTGCATACTAAGAACATGTTAGGTGAACAAGGGGAAAATTTGAGTGAAAACAGACAGAATGTATTCTCGCAACGACATTACGACTCTAAAGATTGGAGAGATTTCCACTCCTCAACAGAAATAGGTTTGACACTATTACGCGTGATCGCTGAAGATGAAAGATGTGAGTGATCGTATCTTATTCTCATAATTCCACAACTACAGTGATGTAGTGACTAAATGTAATCTACATAACATAGCCCATTGAAAATTATATCTACTTGACCCAGAAACTGCACTCAGACTGGGAAGGATGTGTGAGGCACTTCTTCCCAGAAAGCAAACACCACAACAGAGTAGGAAACTGGCACGGTCTGCGATTACAGCCTGAGACAAGCGTCGGAAGGTCTGGTGGTCATGGTGGTCTGGTGGTCATAACTGGTGCGATCCATATAAACATTGAGTACCGGTTTCAACACAAAGGATCCTACCTGGACTGTAGCAACTGCTTCTACTGCTCCTGCTGCTCCTAGGAGATGACCAATCATTGACTTTGTTGAGTTTATTTTCAGCTGTAGACAAAACATTCCCGTCAGTTCACAATATAATCAAAGAGGTCCCAAATAAAGAAGGCGTTGTTCAGGTTAAAGACAAGAGCAGAAACCTATGACTGCTTACCTCAGGATTCTGTCCAAATACTCGCATGAGGGCTTTGTACTCCTGAAGATCACCGGCTCGAGTAGAGGTCGCGTGGGCATTCACGTAATTCACATCTTGTCGTCTTACTCCAGATTGAGCCAAAGCTTTCTCGATACAGAGACGAACGCCCGCACCTGGGGCAGCATAACAGTGATACGACTAATTAACAGGGAGTCCAATTGAGTCCCGAACATACAATCATATGCCAGAAGAAAAAAAGATTTTGAAGTCACGTGCGTACCTTCAGGGTGAGGTTCAGTCATATGATAAGCATCACAGGTGAAACTTCCTCCGAGAAATTCCGCATAAATTGTCGCTCCGCGTTGCTGCAGAATAGAACAGAATGTGGTAGTTTAGGCATTCATTAGAACCTAAAGGCGGAATGGTCGCTGAGTGCAGTGAATATTGCAGCATATTCTGTAAGATATAAAGAAGACGTCAATTATATACGATCATTGTCTCCAGATAATGCTGACATCTATTAAATAAAACGTCAGTAGACTCACCTTAGCATGCTCTAGTTCCTCCAAAAGCAAAGCCCCTGCTCCTTCGCCCATGACGAACCCATCTCGCTCCTGATCCATTCAAAGCAATACTCAGTGTTCTAAAGTATGAGCAAAAACTTCACCTTTCGACCTAAGCAGGGCCATGTACTGAACCAAACCAGATTAAGGCAACTAGTGGTGTACTATCCAAAGAAAAAACTGGATACTGAAGGATAAATGCAATCAGCTCTCTCGCGCTGCTTTCAAGTCAGGGCATGACGAAAATTCCGAAAGGCACAGGCACGAAGGCAACCACTGACAAGACACACAGGTTCAAATTATTGTGTAGCTCGAGCACGTATTCGATTGATCGAGAAAATGACGTACCGAGTCCCAAGGACGTGACGCACTCATGGGGTCCCCGTTGCGCTGTGACAAAGCTCTGCATGCCACAAAACCTCCCAAACCTGCACGTACATGACATGCTCTACTTAAAGACAAACTTCGGCGGGTATACCTAGCACCTCCTACATGCATTCTCCATTTGGAATCGAAACTACAGCGAACGAAGCGTCTGATAAGTCCTGCTAGCATATGCAAAAATGAAACAGGAAATTCCCTAGATGCATCCCATGCGTGACTTACCAATTGGTATAATTGCTGCATCGGAGCCACCTGAGAGCATGATATCCTGGAAAAGTGATGCGCACAGCTTCAAAAATGCTAAGGTTTCAAAAATACTGAAATAAGTGCCGTTTGACACGACCCAAAATAATCACAAAATTCTTGAGAGGATGCAATCAGAAACTTACAGCTTCACCCCTAAGGATGTGATTGGCAGCACTTAGGATGCAGAAGTTACTTGTTGCACAAGCTGTTGAAATGGAATAGTTCGGTCCCATCCAGCCCTGAAGAGTACCATATGATGAGAAATTGCAGAATGTAATAAGATGATAATAAAGAAAGTCAAACTTACTCTTCACATATTTCTTGATCCTTCAAGGTCCCTCATCAAACCGAGCACAGGGCTCAACAATGGCACTCGTCATAAAGAGAAAATGAGTAGGCGTGCTTACCAGATCCATAGCTAACATGGCGGATCCCATATTGGTTGTAGCAAATGGGACGCAAAATGGGTTCATTTTGCGATATGACGTCCTGAGAGCAGTAACTGCATCGTTGAACACCTGAGAAGTAGTAGGGGTTAGAAGAATTGAAGAAAAATCTCACACAACATCGAAGGACGCAATCAACTGCATGAAAAAGTACCTGCATTCCGCCCATAGCAGATCCAATAAGAATCCCACACTTCGTCTTATCAAGTTCTTTCATGACATCCTCTGTGATTCCGGCATCAGCCACTGCCATCTTCCCCGCAGTCAAGAGGTACAGCATAAACTTGTCCATCCTCTTGGCAAACTTCGGTGCGACCCAACCATCTGTTGAAAATGATTTGATTTCTCCGGCGATTCTCTGAAATAAAACGGACCAGCAGGTCAGTGGATGAAATGCATGACACAAGGCTTCCAACGACTGCTACAAGTATACGACATGAACGAGGGCCGCGAACGCACTACCAAAATAACCTTTTCCAAAGAAACAACATTGACTTCAGAAATGGAAAAAACTGTAGGGGAAGAGAGGCGCCCGATAGAATGACAACAAGGCACAGGATAGGCATCCATTCGAAACTAGCATCCAAGCTAGTGCATCCTCGGAGAGTTCAAATGACGAGTTACCGTAGGAAAATCCTTGCAATCAAAGCCCTCTATCTCCGATATCCCACTACGGCCCGCAAGAAGATTTTCGTAGTAACTGTCGGGATCGTGTCCGAGTGGAGAAACCACCCCCATTCCAGTGACAACCACCCTCCTTGGTTTTGTGGCCAATTTCTTTTTCTCCGAAGTTTCTCTGATTGGCTGGACGGCAATGGCAACTGCTTTACCTACAGTACAGGTGAGGTACATAGTCAAAAAAAATCTCAAGACCTCTAATACGCATTACTTAGAGAAATTATCGGAAAGCGATTCCATAGACGACTAAAACCATGAACATCAACCCAATGAAAATGCATGGCAGACAACACATGGATAACCCAAGTGCAGCTAGGCTTTCCTTCGCCCACTACCCGCAGTCTGATACATCTCCAGAGGCACGGAGGGAAAGGCACAAATGCTCCTCGCTTAGAGGATCTGCTACAAAGTCCCGCAGAAAAGCGGCAAAGATCTACGACTGCTACGCAGATTTTGATCACAAAATCTACGTATCCGTTGGTCTGTACGACAGTTAGGAAGCATTCCATCCATCCGCTCGTACATTCATAAGAATGTGGCATAATAAAGGTCATGGGAAGCCTAAACAGGCCACTTCAAGTTTTCCAAGACTTCTACATTCTGCACAGACAGTCTGAAACCCGCAACCTCTCACGAAATACGAGCGCTACACGAGTGATGAAGGTGAGGTGTGCCTATGAAACTTAGCTGAACCCCACAGAAAGCAAGAAAGGGCTCCTGATTCACACCTGCCCTCGTTTTGCTGTGCCTGCGGGCAGCTCGTAAGGACTTCGACCGTAACCCCGCCATCCCATCTCCGAAAAAGCCCGGCATACAATCCCCGAAAATTTGAGGCTGCTTGTGATACTCGGGGCACCCTTCGAAAGTGAGGCACGATCCTAGTCCTGAGAAGCTCGATCCACAAAAGGCGACTAAACTCCCACATGAAAGAGAACCTGTTTGCCCTCCAGCCAGGAAGTTACCAGCCATCGAAAAAGGCGCCCATCCATCTCCAGTCAACTGCTTCAAGCGAGCACTTCTCCTCCTTCTTGATCTTCTTCCTGCCGGTCCTGAGCTCAACGAAGTATCTTCTCCAGTGAGCCCTCCTACTGCGCTAGATACATACGCGGCAATCAACCAACTACACAGAGGTGCTGCCGCTGCCAATGCCATCACTTGTGATGCCAATCCAACAGTTTACAGATTGAACCCGAGGGCGCCGTAGGTATCTGCCACAGCCAGACACGTATATACGAGTAAGTGTAAGCAGGAGAAACGAGAGCCGGAATGTAGTAGGACAGCTTCAAGTTGATTCGTTTCGGGCTTTTGAACCATTCGCACATTGACCACGGCCCATCGAAATCGGGAGCCCCGCATTGCAAGCGCACACAAGGCGTGTGTGTGAATGAGGGGCGAACAGCGAGGGTACAGTTGAGAGATGACACAAGCGGGACATTGTGGAGTGCATAGCTCAAAAACTCCAGTTCACTCGAAGACGAAAGGTGCAATGCGATGCAAGATATGCTGCGAGTGGGAGACGAATGCAGGGTACACCCACATGCGGGGGAAAATTGACACATTCAAGTGGAGAAAACAAGGAGCAAACGCAAGTACACACGAGCTTCACGTCAACACTCAAATCTCAACCACGCCCAGCATCTCTAGTCGTCGAAAGGCGCTGCCCCATCACAAGCATGGCATCGGAATCACTGACAAAGATTGGCATACAGATCAAATGCCCACCCCACCGCAGCACGACTTCCGGCCGCAGGCAAGCAAGAGAACACCCTCACTCACGGACTCGACTCGACTCCCTCACTCCCTCTTTCACTCCCTCACTCCAGCATCGTTGCTCGACACGTGCTCCGCTCACCTCTCCTCTCCCCTCTCCCCTCTCCCCTCCCCTTTCCTCCCCATCCCAAGCAAAACGGAGACGAGCAAAACCGAACGACAACAAGGAGCCCAGCCCAGGCAAGCCAAGCCGCACCCACAGCCCGCAAGACCACCACCACCACCAGAAACAAACGAGAACTTCTGTACGAATGGAGGCCTCGCCCGCTCGCGGAGGGAGGCAGGCAGGCTCGCTCTCGCTCGCTCGCATTTCCAAAGCAACGAGGCGAACCCGGAAGCAGGAACGAATCCAGGAGATTCATCTATACCTCGTGCGTTCTCCCGTTCAATTACACATCATACACCCGGATTCCTCCACAACAGCTGCTGCGACTTCTGCTTCTGCTTCTTCCTCCTCCTCCTGCTCCTCCTCCTTTGCTGCTCCGCTGTGCGAGGTGATGCTCCTCCTCCTCTCCGACCCCGCACGCACTCATGCACTCGACTCTCGCCCCCAGCCGCTTCTCGTCGTCTCCTCCTCGTACCAAGGCCCCGGCCCTCCTGCCCTCTCCCCCTCCCCTCGCCTCCCCCTTCGCCCTCCGTCGTCCTCCGCTCCGCTCTCCTCTCCTCGCCTCTCGTCTCCTCCGCTCCCCTTCCCTGCCCTTCCCTGCCCTTCCCTTCCTGCCCTCTGCCCTCTGCCCTCTGCCCTGCCCTGCCACGAACGCACAGGCACACGTACAGAGGGCCGACGAGGGCTCTGTTTTCCCATCCTTGCTGGCGCGTCGTTTTCTCCTTCCGTGCTTCCTTCCGCTCGGGCGCGCTCGGTCGGGCGCCGGACTCGGCCATCGCGAGGTCGACGTTTACCCGCTCTACCCGTCCACCGGTCGCCAGGAAATGGACAAAAATCCGCTCTCGCCTTCCTCCTTCCATTCGTGTCCGCGAAATGCCACCCACTTCGGGGCGCGCCCGCCCGTCCGTCCGATCGCCGCCCTCCCGCGCCCGCCCCTCCGATTCGCCAGTTATGTCGCCATGGCCCCTCCCCCACCCCCCCTCCCAACCCCCCCACACCCTGCTCCATCCGGACTCACCTCCTGTGGCCGTTGCATCCCCGGGCCGCTCGTCCGTCCGTCCGTCCGTCAGTCTGTCCGGCGACGGGAAGTTCGGCGCTCCCGATTTCGAGCTTGGCACCCCCATCCCCCACCCCTCAGCCACGTGGCGTTGATGACCATGATTACCGACCACCTGTGTATGGCCACTCTTGCTCCGTGCCGCGTGTCGACCATATCGCCTGTTCGTCGACCCGGTTGGCCCTACGCCGTCGTTCCCTCGGGCACATTCCGACAGCATGCCTCCTTCCGATTTGAACTTTCCCTTTCGAGTGCGCGTTCCCGGCGGACAGAGCAGGTGCGTAACGGATGCCTTCCGCCAACGGAACAGAGCGCGCCACCGGACTGCGGCCCGTCGGTTCCGTTGGTTTCTCGACCATGGTCGCAGACGAGTGGTCTGCTCTTGCGCTTCTTCTTCTTCTTCTTCGGGACGGATAGAGAGAGAGATCGGCCCACGCAAGTCGTCGGACGATGTGAGTCGCCGAGAAATCTCTCCGTCCCGATTCGAGGAGCCGCGAGTGAAAATGATTGAAGCCGAGGCGTGGACCGAATGCGCGAGGAAAAGGCGTGAATGCACAAATGGAGGTCTCTTCAAATGGTGATCGAGGACCCATCTTCGCCTCCTCGACGGCTCCTTTCTCCGACCTTCTGTGGTCCACATCCCGCAGCGCTTGTCGACTCGAACTCTTCTACCCTGACCCGCAAGCCCGTCGCTGTTACCAGAGGACACGGGGTTTCTGAAATGCTACCACGTATTGTTTGCTCGGTCGAGACATCTCGAGGGACAAGGAACAAAACATTCTCTCGGTTTTGAAGAGATCCGGGAAGAAGTTCCTTTTTCTTGATTTGTTCATAAATTTTCTCGGACCTGTCCAAATCGGCACCCGAAAAAATGTTCGGGAACGAGGACTGGGTTTTATGAGAACTACTCCACACCCGTCCATTATTTCACCAGTGAAATAATGATAATAATGAAATAATATTTTCAAATCTTTCGGTCTTCACTTCATTACCCTCTCCTTCCATTCCATATCAAAGTTGAATTATACACGTCCCATAGGACAGAAAGGCTTTATTTTGATTTTTTATCGGCGTGTCAATTCACGGACGAGTTGTATTTCTTTCGGCAATCGAATGGCGGAAAGTCATTCCCAAATAGAGGACTTAAAAAAGCTCAGGTTGTAAGAAATTACATTACATTAACCTTTCGAGCTTACAAGTATTGTCTTGTGAATGGAAGACAAGACAATATGCAATCCGAGTGGAAACAAATGAAGGGAAGCCTGACCAAACCTAGGGCAACAGCCAGTCACACGACGCTTTCCCTATCCAAAACCTACTGGGACCTGCTGACTGGGGCCCTGCAATATCTCCCGACGGAGCATCTTAAAAGCTCTAACAAAAGAAAAGCCAAAAGCTCCCTCGTGACGATAAACAAGACGACTCGCACGTCGTCGGGGGACTTCTGTAGAGTCAATTCTGTAGATGGATGGATGGTGAAAGATGAGCGCAGCCTGCGACTGGACGACTGCGGTCGATGTCGCCAATATCTTGGCATTCAATAAGATGCGGCCGATTTCAACCCCATCAGTGCCCATTGGCAAGAGCGATATTTTTCACTCACCATGTCTTGGACTTGCGGAGGATTAACCAGACCCCTGCATTTGACCCCTACACTTTCAGAAAATAACTCCTGGCCGTCGCAGCCAAGGCCTTCGAATGTCAGAAGTGGATATCCTGCTAATTTTCTCCACAGGTCTTCTTTCCTCGTTTAGACCTCTCCAAAATCAGGAAGCATAAATTTAGACCTTGTGACGAGGATACGTCAGTCAACTGAGTTACATGTTACTGACGCATGGATGCACCCAAAAAAAGAAAGGGAGGCGCATGGCGTAGAGGAATTCTGGACTTAGGGGGCACCGAGTATTATATTAGGGTGGTGATATAACATTAAGCCGTGTAATGAATAAAACCAAAAATATGTTAATTGGCAGGTACAATGGGGCTATAAAGGAAATCATGCAACCACGCCTACTAAGGTACAAAGCCAAAGCAGCAAAACCACAACCTAAACATGGAGTCAAACGAAAATTAGACATCTATTTTCTATCGTGATATTCAAGATGTCTCCAACCATTCCTCTCTACCCCTTACATGCATATGGTTAGTAAGTTCCTAACAAGGAATCTATGACAAGCGTCATTTCTCAGAGCTATCATACTCTCAATGTCATTGGCTGAAGCATTTTGTAATAATATACTTATAAGTTGTTTGGAATATATGATGCTATCAGACAACCGTTTCAATTAATCCACACATCCATCTACATGATAGATGATGAATTTAACAACACTCTCTAACAAATCTATCCAAATCTCATTCATGCTACTCATGGAACAACAAAGAAAGGGGAACAGATCTATACTTCTAACGCAATCCTACAGTACTTGTGGATCTTAGTGGCATCCCAATCCCCCAGCTTGAATTCGTTTGTTAGATTACTTGGTCAAGTTAAATCACTAACCACGTCGTAATGCGTTGCAACTTGGTCTTCCATACAAATCTAAAGTTCAGCGAATATGGTTGTCTTCGATGTAAAGATATTCTCTCCACATATCATCATAGTTTATCTCTTTCGATCAATTCATGAATGAATCTGCCAGTAATATAGTGCATAACAATAATCTGACCTCCATAAAAACAGCATGTCAAATGAGCCTCATATGAATCTAGATGCTAACCACACTCATTTGCGAAAATTAAATCACCCAAATCAATATGACATAGTTATGTGAAGTTTCCAGTCAAATTTTGAACTTGTTTGGGATTTTTTTGAAAACAATTCTATATCTGGCATTCACAAGAATTCTCTTCTCCAGCCAGTCACTGTTAACCTAGAATATTTTGTTATTGATAAATATAACTCACATTCATGTACTTCATTATCATCAATTTCCAAACATAATCAAATGTTTAATGTCAAAGTTCATCACTTAATATGCTTTATATAGTATTAACATTTTTCTGTGGAATGCATTTCATTGTGTATCATCCTCATTGAATGCTTTAATATTGCAAATTTATCATTATAAATCTTTTGATTTTTCTGCTTGCACAGCATTTTTTCAAGAATAAACATAAATGAGGAGATTTCCACTCATGCTTCATTGCCCTTGAATATAATAAGCATGATTTTCTGTTGCCAGTCTTTGACATCATTATTCCATTCTACTGAAAAAGTAAGATTGAAATATATTAAACCCTAAGTAATACTAACAAAACACATCTTAATTACAAACTTTTCTGCAACAGACGATCATAAGTAGAAGATATTTTTTTAGAAAAATCAAGTAATTTGTGTACATAATGATATGTAAATTATAAAATAAAAGTTAGTTACAAGAAAGAATTAGTTCTTAAATTTTCCTAGTGAGAAAAAATTTGAATTTAAAAAAAAACTGTTAAAAAAATGATTTTAAATTTTTATCATATTGTCAAAACTTTCAAAATAAACAAAGTAATTATACGTTTCAACATATCATGAATAGAAAATTACATAAAATTCAAAAAAATTCATAAATTGACTGTTCAAAAAATAGATATTCTCATATGATTGTATGACATGATGTAAACCTAAAACAAAAATACTAAAAAATATTTTCATTCAAAAAATTATTATATTAACTATCAATGTCAAATATAAAAATAATTTTCGTTATTTTAATATGAGTGATATGAAGTAAAATTAATACTATTTGGATAAAATGACGCATATATCTTGTAAATAGTTGTAAGCATGAAAAGAAAATTGTAAAAACTATCCAACAAACACCCAAAGGTAAAAGAACGCTTATTTTTTCAAAATTGTACATAACAAACATATGCAATCATAAAAGAGTAAGCATATTCTATATTTGAAAAACTTGAATTTGAATTTGATTTATATATAAATATATTAATTTCACAAAGTGTCATTAAGTTTAGCTACATAACTTATAAACGGCTCGATTCACATAAACGGATGCAGAATTTCATTTATCTAATGCTGGAAATTAACTCTGACATTAATTTGATGATAAATTTATTAACTAATACTAAGTCATATTTTCATATAATCTTAAGAAGATGACAATACAAAACATTACAAGCCACTTAGATAAAATATTAAATATTAACAAAAAAATTCAAAACAAATAAAAAAAGAAAAAAAATATTTCTTTGTTTTAAAAGTTGATGAATAGACTTTTTCTTAGAGCAATTAAACAGCTCAATTTATCACACCGTAATAGAAATGGGGAAAAAAAACAACTTCAAACTTAAAAACTTGGATATGAAATTTTCCTATCCCACTGAAGTAGATATGACATGACATACGAAGGGAATTTTGCTTGATATCTATATAAAATAATAGGTGTATTCATTCATTTTTGATCACTATAAGTTCTATTTTTTGTATTTATTTTTGAAGATTGTGAAAATATCATTTTGATGAAGATTCTATGGATCAAATGATCAACAATATAATTTAAATTATCTTTGAGTTATCAGTAATTATGCGATCTCAAAATTGATATTTAAAATATCTTATATTGAATAATTTTTTAACAAATATTTTGTCAATAATGCTGATTTCGTGTGTTTAATTTTGAAATCATTGATATTTTCATTATTAAATTATACTTCAAATTTTTCAAAATTCTTAATAAATGGATATTTATATAATTATTACGTATATTATTAATTATTTAAATTATGATGCAAAATATAAGTGCTTGTTTTTTCATCAATTTTCGAAAAATTGTAACAATGACTATAATTTTTAAAAAAGTTATTTATATTTTGAATAATATTCTAAAGCACATTTTTTGAGAAAAGCATCTGTAATTTTTTTAATTTAATTACTGAATTCAAATTATGACAAAAATTTCTTTTTTATGCAACAATATATTTTTAGAAAAATATATGTAAAATTAATTATAATATAATATAGAAAAAATTTGATTGAATTACTTCGACATAATTTAAATGATATAATTAAAATTTTTTTTACATCGCATTCAAAAAGAATTATATAAATTATACCAATGAACATACAAAAAATTTATTTGATATATTTCTATAAATAAGCGTTTATTGAAAAATGAACAAAATTCTATTGAATCAACATGCATAGGATTCAAGATTATCCAATTCAAGATTTTATTTTATTTGATAAACTTTTCATGAAATTTGTCTGATTTTTTTAAAACATATGATTATTGTGATTCATATTGATGTATACAGTGTTGATTCAACCTGGTTCTATTAACACAGTCTTACTGTTCTGAATTATCACCCCCATGAGTTTTTGTAGTAGTGCCAAAAAGACATATTTCGTTACTCAAGTCGTACAAACGACAGACCGTTTTGGACGACAGGCAGAAAAAAAATTGACACCATGCACTGTCATCATTAAGCAGATCATGATATCAATTATAGAAAAAAACTTAGAAATTTATTTAGACACAACGATACAACAAACTCACCGCAAGAATACGTGATTCACCTCTAGGAAGGCAACTTTATTGAAAACTCTAAAGAATGCGGACTTGAGAGAGGACTAGCTCTATTATATGATAACAAAATAATCCTAGTGTTAGGAATTAGAGTAACACTTACCTGGGTCAACAGAATATAGCTTGATTTCTAATAGCATAAGTCATAAGTTCCTGAAGATAAGTAGAAAAGCTGTCAGTATTTTATGATGTTCACTTTAACAAATAATCCTTAAATTTTTACCAAACATCATAATCATAATAATACATGATGTGATGTATAGAGTTCAAAAGAGGTGAATTTCTTGCTAATAAACACACGCAGTTAGTTTCAGCTAAATTTGTAATTATTGAGACATGAGAATGGAAAATCTGTCAATGAAGTGATTGTTAAACATGTACTTACTCCAGGAAAAAGCTATTATTGTCAAAGAGAGAAAAATGTATGTAAAAAGAAGATTAGAGAAAAAAATGGCTCACTAAAGATGAAGTGTTCTTCTTAAGTTAACATCAAGATAGATATATAAGAGTGTTATAATATCCAAAAATGAAGTCTCTCAATCTACTCATGCAACTGTTCTAAACTAGTGTGCACAAAGATGTTGATATGGACAATTGGTATCATCACATGACAAACAAAAAAATGCAACATTATTTCACTAATAACAATCAGTCTAATGCATTTAATAATGTTCTCTTATCACAAGGAACAAACTAGTATTTTTAACCTCACTATCCTTGAATCAAGTCTCCTTGACTAATGATGTCACATAGAACAACTTCAAGAAAATATTAGAGTATCATCTATATGAAAGCTATCATGAAAAATTTCATCTATTATTCAAAGATAACTATGACATTTCTGTAGTATAAGCAACGCCATGAAAGCGAAAAAACAATACTAAGCTCATTGGTATTAGAAACCCTATTGCCAATCTATCGAGTAGGAATAGAAAGCATGATATCACCTCTTCATAAATTGCAAAAAGGAACGTATAGAATTTATATGGACCTGAGAACATGTTGTCAACAAGCTCCATGAAGAACTTAACCTAATGCTAATCATACCAACATGCCATTTTGATTAGATAGGAAAAAAATTTCTACTCCATAATTTGGTGAAATCACTCATTTGATTATGTTGGACTTTGCCTCATGGATCGACTTAGCTCCAGCCACGGGTCTCGACTCAGTCCTTTTTTTCTTTCCCCACTTGTGAATCTCGAGGGCCTATTTCCCATGTTCTTGGTATTCGGTCTCTTCTCTGTTCCTTCCAGCAATTAATCAATTCAATAGCAGAGGAAAAATAAGTCCCAACTCTTGAAGGGTTCACGTGCACAACGTTGGTTCTGTGAATGAGAAGGGGATGGCGCACTGTGAGATCACGGTCTATTAAACCCCTCTGATATTCAACATCTCATCTTGGTTCAAAGTCCTGAGATCCATTGAAACATTCGTCGGGGAAGAAAGAAAGCTCCCACTTTTTACCAAACACTTGCAATCGAAAATGGAGCGCGTGATGGTTGGTTGGCATTAAGATGTAAAGCTGTTGTTATGGGCCGATCCACCTCATAAATTATCAATCACGCCAGCAGCAAATGAAAAATATTGCCATCATATTCCGGGTCTATTGAATGCATGATTCAGTTGAACCTCGACATTGAAGGAGTTCTCAGCCTTTGGTCTCTCGACTTTTATCGCCACATGGAGAGAAGGATACTATTTATGAGCACAATCTCGGCTCGATTGTGAAAGCAGGAAATCGTTGAAAAAAGAGAAAGCCATGTGTGTCACTGTTTGAATCTCATAAAGGTGGACAGGTGGAAACGAAAGCGCTCGAAGTGATTGTGGAAGTGCTCGGATGGGAATTCGTGGTGCTTCCGGGGAGAAATGTGGCCAAGGTCAAAAGTGCGAAGAATGGCATGCGGTGCATAATTGTCACCATTATCATGGATCGTCTTGTAGGATTGCATATACGAAGTCCCAACCGACAACAGCAGCGGGAACTTCCCACTCTGCATCGAAGTGTCTAGTCTCCACTCATGATTATCGTCAATGGAAACTGGGGGACGAGTTGCATTGCAATTAGGTAGATGTAGATGTCTTCGGCGGCCAAGAATCTCTGCACTCATCTAGATGTCGGACAAAACGATGAATGTGTTGTTGTCAAACTCACCGGACCGTTAAAGTCAATGACAGAAATCATTGGTTCTGCACGGGAGCCACTCTCGCCGAGTGAATATGAAGCATCTCTTTCTTCTCCTTCGTTTGGTATCCCATGTCTTCATAACTGCTTCTTCTTCATAATTGGAAATTTCATCCGTTCCTTCAAATGGCAGTAGTGTGAGCTTTTGATCTCAAGCAGGCAGACGGCGTGTGCCTTACATGAAGGTAACGCCTCTCTCATTAGCAGTAATATTCCTTACACATTACGAATGTTAGCTCTGTTTGGATGGTGTCCACGCGGCAAGGTACTCAAACCTGCATGGAGACTGTCAGTCCTGGTTTCCTAACCGTCGTACTGTTGTCTTGACTGCCGGGACTGTCGACAAACGTTTCTCTACTGCATCGTTTTCTCTAAATCAGTAAAAGTCTTCCTTTGAGCTATACAGCGTGTTCTTGTAAGTCTTGTAAGCTACTGAATCTTTCGCGTATAACTGGCTCCGTTACGGGCACTCTCACCATAATTAGATGTGGCAAGAGCTTCAGCTACCACCTCGTATTAATTGTGAGAGTCAGGTCGGATACTGAGAGCAGCTCTTTTCTTGCAAACGGTCCGAATACCATAAGATTGAAAGCATTCAGTATCTTAGACGTCTTACGACAGGTTCTTTTCGTGCCAAAAGTTCGTGACACCCTCTACATCTGTTAGGGAGAATTGATTACATTAGTAAACGGTGAAGATTTGCAACTCTATGGATGTGACTACCACAACACTGACAGAGATAGATGATATTTGAACGATCGTCGACTTCTGACCAACATTCTGGATGTGGAAGCAAACGATCAAGCAGCCTCACCCTTCAAGCGAAAGAGATAAATTACAACTTCAACCAGTCTGGATTGTTGCCTACGCAAACCGTCTGAACAGGGAACTGAAACGATCCCCACAAATTCCGACAACATTTCTAAGACCTCCATCCAGTCGAAGCAGTCGATCAACACAACTGGACCCTGCCGCCCAGATCCTAGACCCTGATCTACTAAGGATGTCTGTAGGAACAATACAGCTTCTTCCCACTGAAGAACTACTCCCTTCTCCTGAAGGTACCGGTGGGTGGAATGCCTCCTGAGATTTGAGCCTCTTCACAACCTTCCGGTATCTGCAAGTTCGGCCAAGCCTTCCATGTATTATTTTTTCACCACTTTGGAGATATGAGGGTAAGAAACTTGAACTTATCCAACGGAAAACAAGCGAGTGCCAGCAAGCGTCGAAAAATGTCTGTGACTTCTAGATCGAGGCCTGTTCAGACCACATAGCATCACCGACAAGACAGCAGGTAGTAGCGATCTGAAATAAAGAGAGGCAAAACGGGACAGGTCGCCTTCAAGTATAAACTTTGCGCAATTACGTGTATTAACCTTGAAGAGATCGAATGCTGTTTGAAACTCTGTAGCTTTTGGCTGAATAAGGTCGTCAATTCCATGGTTCAGGCACGAATCTAAGAAAGAAAAGGAGGAAGATGTAGGACCAAAATGCTGACTGGTGTTACTGAGGCTATGTTGTACAAACTGCAACAAGAAATGTGGAGAAGGATCGTACTTCAGCCAGGTGTAGTACAACACGCCGGAGTAAAACACACCGAGTCCAATTGCATTTAAACGAGTGTAATTTTGATAATGAAAGCGGGAGACCTGAATTGAGGAGTAACCAATTTATCAAATTAACGCTGTGCAAACAAAACACTTGTTATGCAATTGAACTTCTTCTGTGATGGCATTGAGCACATTATTATCTTTTTAGAAATCATGTCAGCATTCAACTTTTTGGGAAAGCTAAGACAAGTCAATACAGAGACATAACGTTACGGAAACTGGACTATATCTTCATTATTGCTTGACTGAAATTGCCATGCCCATGAATGTTGTAAGAACTCACCGTCAACAAGGCAACTTCCTTGAACATGACAACGATAATCATGGCATTTGCGCTTGAGTGGTATATTACTACTAATTCAGACAATGCCTGCCACAAGGGTCAGAAATTCTTTTTTCAAGGAGCAGGTGTAACAACAGCAAAAAATGTTCTAGTTTCACTTACAAGAATCCAATGAAGTGCTGAAGTGCTGATCGATCCAAGTCTTATTGACCTTTGGAAGAATAAGTGAAGGGCAAATCTCAACTTTGGAGTGAGGAATGTCAAGTATGTTATACCACAGATGTCTCGAGAAAAGCTCCGACGACAATATGTGCCCAAGTCTTCAAAGTATGCTCAGTCGTGTTGAAGAACTCTGTCATATGTAAGGTTCTCCAAGGATCAACGAAATAAGACGAAACGGCTGTCACTAACGCCATCGCCGGTGCCAAGGCTCTCATAGTCACTACGGGGCTAACCAAGCCTGCAGTCAGTAGCCACTTTTGAAGTAAAAGCTGTATGTCACTATCGTCTTTTTGAAGCAAAACGAGCCAGTTACTCCTTAATTGAACATTCAATGCCTACTTGTTTCTACACGTCTGAGAATGAACATGAACCATACGCATCCTCAGCTAAGCTGGCAATTGAAGCTGTGTAATTTATCCAATAGTATTCATATATTCCTCCTGAGGCCGGCTTTTTTTCTGAAGATATTGCTGGTCTCGCAATAAGTGCAATTTATGATTTTTTACTGAGTTGATTTTCTATGGTTGTGAACTTCAGACGTGCGCAGTGGAGGATTTTCTTAGAAAAGCATACCAATTTCTCTATTCTGGACGTTGCCACCACGTAACGCACCCGTTGTGGAGGATTTGAAACACATATATGGACTTCATGTCAGTTGATTGATTGAGCATAAAGCGAAGTTACTTCTATCGACTAACTACAGTCATTGGAAAGCTACACTGCAGATCAGTCATGCATCATATCAATGTACACGAGATTTGAAGAATTGCCTGACGATAGGGTGTTCTAGAAGTTTAAAATCGGTTTTCTTGAACTCAACTTTTAGAAAGTGATTTGATGTAAGTAAATTGTAGTATGTAAAAACCATATACTCCTTTGTGATGTGATGGACATGTCTGCTGTAACACTTAGCTTAAAATATTATTATGTACCTGGAGTAGATTCTGGGTTGCGGCTAATCGAAATGCAGAAATAGCAGAACCCAGAGAAGATTCTGTCAAGCTCCAGTTCTCGACTTCTTCCTCCTTGTAAACTAGAACCCATATACAAAAATGTGGAGTTAACGTTTTGTACAAAGTAAAAAGTTGAGTTTGTTTATAGCATTGCTTTCTATCTGCGGAACGAATTTACGTCAACTGAAATCTTTTTGAAAAAGACATATACCTGCTATCATAAATCCGACAGAAATGGTCACAATGTTGCAAAAGGCACTGTGGCTATGCTCGTCCAATCTGCCCAATTGGAAGTGAAAGTTAAATCAAATTGTACAACCGGAACAGTTCACTGCAGCAGCCCATCGACGTGCCACTTAAACACCAACAAAGGTCTAACTCAATGCACTTCTGCAAGAACTGTGCTAAGCACTTTGCCAACTTGCTCCAAAAAGATATGAGTCTGTATATCCAATAAACAGTTACTTACTTGAATATTGTGGTAAGCACGACAACAATGAGAGGCACGCAAGCTTTGCACTGTTAAGAGCATAACAAGATAATTATTCTGCATGTGTAGACTCGTATTCTCAAGACTAGCATAGCACTTCAACTACCATGACTTGATGATAGAGTAGTGGTGATATTCGAGCCAAATACAAAGTAGTGATATATTTCATACTCGTAGCGTACTGCCAATTAGGCTTGAATTTCCAGCAGATATGGTTCCTAAGAAATTACATAGAGTATGAGAGAAGAATTTAAACGTAGGCTACTGGAAATTGTCTACTGTCGTGCAATCTCGCAAGTTGGAGTACTACATGGATCGTACTTTCAGTTCTAATCTTTCTTGAAACAGAACAGACAGGAATCAGCCGAAGCCAAGTGCGACATGTACTGAATGACATCTGTATCCCTGAAAACATAATTCAATCCACAGCTCTGCTTTGTGTTCATTATTAGCCAGATGGATTATGGCTATATCAGAACAAATAACAATTAACGCCTAAATCTCTTCTTGCAGACTTTCCTTCCTTTTTCTTTAAGATCAAGATGTTTTGGAAATAAACTCCACCTTCGACTGTACACGGCATACAGCCAGTAGAGCTTTCTCCCTGAAGATGTTCCGCATATCATTGAAAGGTCCCTCACACTTGCAGGCCAAAATATTCGCAACCGGCACTTTTAGATTCTCGCAAACATTGGAGAAAGGGGTAGCTTGCGGTTCATGATCTACTGTTGCTGCCACTGCAACTGGAAAAACTGCAATCCTCAAAACGAAATGCAAATATTAGGGCCATGACTTCTGCAGAGAATTTGCATAAATATTACGTTGCTTATCGCCTTCTCTCTTAGGTAGTACTGAACTGCACACGGATGCTCTTCATGCGACTACGAGACTTGGGTACCTCCGAATGGTACACGAAGTATCCGAATCCTTCAACGTTCACTCGGTAGTGGCCGGGGTCCTTAACCAAGCAGACACCGATCTTTGGAGTTCACAAAGGGGACGCCCATACTAAATCTTCGGATTGTGAGCGCTGGGATGTACGAGACTAATGCTTTGGGGACCTGACGAGCTTTGACAAAACACGATGCAAGAACTTCACAAAAAATGCGACATACAAGTTTTTGAGCCTAGAAGCTTACAAAAAGGTTCTATGAAGACACACCTCGCCACAAGAATGTGGTCCAAGACATGGAAATAATTCGTTTCATGGGCCATCGAAGCATGCAGGAAGCAAGTATTGTCTGTATAATAAAGTGCACAGTGATCCTGAGAAAAGGAGCTGGAAATGTAGCCATCGTGACTCCCATGCCTGTCGTGCTGAATCTGTTACAGGAGAGTAGGGGTATAAATGTCCCTTGTTTTCTAACACGGTTTTACTATGGCAGGTGCTATTTTTTTCATAACCTGAGAAGAGACCTTAAGTCTCTGTAAGAGACTTCACGACATAAGATGGACCCAGCTCTCTCCAATTTAATGTAGGATGATTATAAAAGCAGGTGTCCTCACAACAGTTCCGATTTGCAATCCCTCTGATGCTGATAATTAAATCCTACAGTATTCCTCTATACTGGATAGAGCACAGGAGAATGCGAGAGAATCACATGTTTGCTGCGACAATGAGAAGGGTAGTGAATTTACAGAAGAAAAGAATGACTGAGAATACACCACATAAAGCTGTAAAGTAGGGCCTTGAAGAAAGAAGTTGTCGGCGATATAGAAGATGAGATCAAGGCTTTCTTATGTGGTACGGTGCGCTCAAGCGGTACAATTCCCAGAAAGCTTGAATGCTCAGCAGCGTCTCTGGGCACTGAAAACGTGGAGAAAAGTTTCAGACCTTCCGAGTTGTCTATAAACACGTTCATAGGTATAACTGGGAAGTAGAAGGCAACTCATCAATGAAGATTAGGAGACCAGTCACTAAAGTGGTGAAGATGAAAGAATAATTGTGAAACATGAACAGATATGATGCTAGCATGTGTTCCACTTCTTGAACATCTCGCTACATGTAGAAACAATCGGGCTTTGTTGACTACTTGTTCTCAAGATGTGGAAGACTTCGAGATAAAACAAGGGAATGGGTGAGAAATACCTCTGTCTATGGTGGTGCTACATCCGGCCACACCCTTCTGTCTCGTTTCCTGTTTGTGGTCATTGACAGTCTGCTCAAATGACGACAAATCGCCTGGAGAAATGTGCCGAGTGTCATTACTTGGTGCTTGCTGATGGCCAAAGGTGCTACTGTTGCTTAAGTGGTCCAAGAAGGACTGTTCGGCTCCAGAACCTAGCTCAAACCTCAGTTTTTTGCCTCTGTTTTCTAGGTTATTTCGAAGGGCGGCATCAGTACTGGAAAGCACGTAAGGGTTAGAACTAGGAGTGTCTGCATCGGAATGTTCTGAAGCTGTAGATGCATCATCATGAACTTCATCAGTACCGTATCTGTTGTTAGTTCCTGTATGCCCTCGGCTGCTACGTGCACTTGGTTGGGAGGATACGACGGCTTCTGAAATGGACGAAATTCGGGGATATGACTTTTCATAGTGATGACTGAAGTATCTCTGATGATGTCCTCCAGGACCTTTGGCGGGTCTCGGGTTAAGGGGAGTTTCCCTGGGTGAATCGGGTTTCGGTATTTGCTGGAGCCTTCTCCTTCCAATGTGGTAAATCAGGAAGAACAAACTCCCCGACAGAACAACCACGGTAAAAACCTTCACTCCGTTCGTTGTATTGGACATTGCGATTGCGCTATCTTACTACCACATGCTTTCAAACTCGTGCATCGTAACAACAGTTTTGGCTCTACAGCAAAAGTCGTTGCGCTCTGCGATGATCCTATGCCTCTTTCTTCTTGACGTTGCTTTGGGTTTGATCGCATGTGGCAGCTCTATGTATCTGCATTCATATATCCTGTCTTTGAGCACCACCAACTTCATACTTCCTTTCATCCTTCCCGTGGTTTCCAGAATAAGGAATGTTACCGCAGTGTAAGATGTACTTCGGTTTTTCAAGATGTGTCATGCGCAAAATTGGAAGAGTACGGCGAGTTTAAATTCTTGCACTTCTGAACTTCGACTTGAAAGCCTGGACGGCCCCAAGCGCTCAAATTTCTCAACTTTCCGTAATTCCACACATGCAGTAGCTCTGTGCTCTTGCACGAAGTAGCAATTTTTCCATATGTCTAATCTCAAGACTTTACTTCAGTGGTCGTAGCAAACATCGCCTTCCAGGTAAAAGTGGCATTCGTTTTTCGAAAGTATGATGATTCTGTACACAATTGAGGATTGACGCGTTTAATCATGACAAGTGCCTCTACATTCTTTGAAAGCGTGTACTCTCCAGGATTCAAAGCTTGATCTTTCAGATACCGACCTTCGGTAAGACTCCGCACATTGTACTTGTGCAAACCCCAAGCCGATCACCCTTCCCCTCGGCGTTTCGTTCTTCCTGAATTCCTCACATTGAGATTCTACTTTTGGGTGAAGACGAGACGGGCTACGTAATGTCCTTCCCACGCAAGTCCTTCTCAGCAAAAAAGCATCCGTCTCCCAGATCTACTACACAACCACCAGTGCGGACCATCTCTCGAACCACCGTCAACAGATGCCAATGAATTGCAAAGTGGGCATCTTTACATATCTGCTGTCGAATATAATACTTCAAAAGATGGCAGGTGAATCGATGGAGCAATGAAAACGCTCGCTGCGATTCATCGTGATCGCAATGTCAGCGCCTGAACAAATCACTTCCAGCAGCATTGGACCACGTTCCGCACACTCGGAAATTCGGCGAATACTCGTTGAATCGATCATTCGCGCACCGAATTGACAATGCGGGGAAAATTCCGACGTCCATGGATCGAAAACCCTCCGCAAACCTTCGAACTGTGAAGAAGCCCATGTGAACGCTGATTAGAAAAATCTGGATTTTCGGAACGAAGGTCCTGTCCGACTCTCATCGATCCTGCCGTCATTTCGATGGCCATCGCACGCGCGGGAGCAGCCTCCACGTGTGCTGCACATCGGTTGCTGATTCAGCACATTCTTGCCACGTTCGAACTGCGTTGAAAGACTGCCAAGTCCGTCGTCAACCAGGTGACCAGCGACCAGGGTCGTTGGACATCGGCGCATTCGCACATGGGAATAAGATCGGACGTGCAAGCCCATGTTTGCTGTGAAGATGTTTCCGCATTTCAGCTCTGGGTCTCGCGTGCATTCGATATTTTTCTGGCGTATATTATCCATTTACACATGCATGAAGATATTTCCCAGATGACTTCATACCCACGTAAGTGTAATCTCAAAGCAGACGTTTATCAATTATTCTTATTATTATTATATATCAATCAGATTCACAAAAATCCCCTCAGCAATTCTCATTGACCCTTTCGACACTCAAAAGATCAAGTATCTTTTAACTCCATATTATTCACTCAAGATTCCTCCCTCTCATCTCCTACTTGTGGCGGGCAGAAGAGACAATCAACATAACGGTATTATTCATTTGCAATGTGTATGTACCTGAAAGTTAGTTTACTACTAAATACCAATCACTTTATAGACTGCAAGTTTTCTCACGTTTTAATTTCCTCCCTGTCAAGGAGATGACTAGATAACACCTCTGAGTGGTTACGTAGATGTGTCAGGGATTCTAATACATATTTTTCTCGCTCAAGCGACCGTTATACACTTCATTATCACACAAATACTTCAACCTTGACAATTTGTGATTTTTTTGGGGTAAAAAATGCCTCATCGTTCACATTACATCTATGCCAGTTCCCGTGGTTTAGGAATATACATGGGATGTTTGTAGAGAAAATGTATTGTATACAAAGTTAGTGGTCATAGCCCACCTTCAGAAACCGTCGAGCTGGAAATTTATATCAAAAACACGTCGACATATACCGCACAACCCTTTATTTTGCACATATTTACGTCCATCCATGCAAAAAAGGAATAATCATAATTTTTATTTCTCTATTTATTTATTTTTCACTTGTTTACATCTAAGAAACATTACATGTAAGTTTGTACCATAAGACACGTCAAACATTTGATATCATTGAGTTGTATTACTTTCATAACGTTGCGTAGAGCACGCAGATCTCATATAGTTGGAATAGAGTCATGATTGATAATACTACAGCAGACTATATACATTTATCTTGTATCTCACATTCTTTCTTGTATGCATATCAAATATATTTGAATGCACTATGATAAAGTGAATTGAACATGCACCATTATCAATAAATGAAAATGTTGGTTGTGATACGACTTGGATAATAATTAATTATCTAAGGTATGCAAGTAATACTGTTACTTTACATGTTTAAACTTTATGCAAGTAAAATTCTGGTGTGATGTATTTATGGTTAGGAAAGTTAAAAACCAATTTTCTTCTATTATTTTTATGGAAAAATATAATCATGTAATATTTTTGGTTAAAAAAGTCATGTCTAAACTACTTAACTTATATATAATGAAATAATGATATTAAATGATAACATGATTATAATTAATATAATTATATATTAAAAAGTTTAATAAGTATAATTGGAATTTTAAAAATATTTCCTAGATTTTAAATAAATTATGTAACAATCTTACATAATGAAGGATATTGAAACTGACAAATGATGAATATATATGATGACAAATTTTGTGTGATACTGTTTAAGATTAAGGTTATAAAAGCTTAAAAAAAATAAAATTTGCTTGTTAAGATGTCTATATTTTAGAGGTTTCGATTAGTTTATTCATTGTTGAAAATTTGAATCTTAAGTGATAAAAAGCTGAATCATTTAGGATTAAAGTTTTGAATTGTTTTGAAAGTTTTTATCATATATCTTGTTCTCAAAATCTATGTGAATGCACCGAACGTTTTATTGAAGTTTATCATTTTGCAAATTTTGAGGAAGTACTCACTAAATTTCATAATTTTTATCAATTTATTGAATAAAAATTGAAAGATGGTATTGAAAGTCATATATTTCCCAGCTTGATTGAAATCAAAAGTAACTAGCAATAATAGATCGTCAGAGCTAGAGGACTACTATCTAATACATTAGAAAAACAAATATTAAAGATTAAGTATATGATATGGTGCTTAATCCATCTCATGAAATCTGTATCTTACGTTTCTAAGATATATTTGAATTCCCAACTTTCATAACGTGGTCAGGCGGGATGTCTTTCGCCCAATCGCGCATTTGACTACAGTAGTTATCTTAATACACGAGGGATTTTCGCACTATGGATTGTGTTGGAGAATATTCTTCATGTGGACACGTTATAACATGTTTTGTAACTGATGTCTCTTATATAAAGTTTATACATGATTTACATACATGGGCATACTAAATATATACGTGATTTACAAAACCGTTGATCCAGTTAAGAGCAAGCATCTGATTCACAAGCTATAGTAAGTCTATTGGTGAAATTCATCAAGGTGTTAGAAACTTTTAACTGGTCTTCCCTCTTATATATCACAAGCTGACAGGTAGCCATCGGTGCTCGATTAGAGGAGAAGAATGGCTGATTCCAAAATGAATAGCACAAATTACCTCAAGAAGATCCTCTCGCGCCTCCTGCTTGCCACGCCGAAGATCACAAATTTTTTGGTTTCATCAAAAGAAAGAGCGGTAAATAATCTTGTACCGGGGAAAAGGGACTTGAGCCCCCAACCTTCGCCTATCAAGGCCTCTCGACCCCTTGGAAATACATTTATATTCTGTATCCTCCGTACTTCATTGATGCAAACAAAAGGCCTCACAACTTTTGACGAGAGCAACCTCAGGCCAAATTCGAGCATGATTTTTTATTCTGACTCCAACTCATTGAATGGCAGTCAACTTTCGATCGGGTTATTTAATACTGTACTTCAAGAGAAATTCGCTCTGATGAAGATAGCACCAGGAGTGAAAGAAGCCCAACATTTATTTATTCTCGATGCACTCATTGGTTATCGGTCGTTATGATAGGCAATAACCGAAGCGGCATGAGGTAATATAGAAAAAGGATGGGAAGGCCCCAAATATGAAACCGAAGGAGGAACATTCGCAATAACTTGCTCAAATTCTCGGTCAATCTGTTGACTCGAAATCCGAGCGCCCTGAAAGTACCAGAAAAGAGTGCCCTTCAGCTCGAGGCCAGATCGCTGTCGTCCAAAGTGAATCCGCTGCTTCTGCTTAGATTCCATCGTGTCAGATTCGCTTGCAGATTGCAGATTACGAGAACCGAAAACCGAAGAACATCAACTGCGTCGGGCACTCACATCGTAGATCGCAGGAGCAAGATTCGCTTCTACTGGAAACCACGTAGCGTGCGGATGTGACGCGGTCGGCTAACCTCGACCCATCACTCCACACGAGACAAACAGTCCGGTGACCACGTTGACGAATGTCGTACGCGTGGACGTCTCAGACGCCGTCGATTCTCCATCGAGGGCCACCGAGCCACCGGACCCTAACCCTCGGTCCGCTCAACCTAAACCGAGGTCACGGCGGAGGCGCCGGTCGCAGTTGCGAGGTCCGTCGGAGGGCCGTAAGGGGCAGTGTGGTGAGGAGGGTCGAGGACGAGGGAGCGGGGACGACGAGGCGGTAGAGGGCAAACAGGCCTCGGGAACGGCGAGCGGGCGAGCTGACACAGTCACGGGCAGGGCGAAGGGCGGGGGTTGGGAGGAGGAAGGTTGTGTGAACAGGGGGAAAGGGGGATACACTTGCAGGGAGTTTGTGTGGACTGACGCTCTGGGGCCGGGGCCTCTGCGATCGACGACGAGTATGGACGTCGAGGTCCAGCGGCTTAATAGTTGAGGGAGGGGAGCGATTCGGGAGAGCGCATGAGAGCGAAGCGGGACTCGGATGGGGTCGCGGTGATCTGACGGGAGCAGAGAAATGCTGCGAATTCGGTCAGAATTAGACGGCAGGTTGTCGTGATCCACGCACATATCGGCCTCGTGTCAAGACTGTGCAGCCTCGCCTGCCGGAAGGAAGGCCTTAGGTCTTCCATTCCATCCCCGGCCTCTTCATTCGTGCCCTGCTTCTGGTGCTTCAGGTTCCCTCGGTCTTGCGGTGCGCGAGGGGTGGAGGGAGGCTTTTCTCTCGAGCCTTGGGGCCAGTTCGGAGCGGTCGTCGAGCCTCTGTCTGTCTGTCGTCTGGGCCACTCTGTCGAGGCTTGTGGGCGGCCGGTGCGTGAGGTGTAGCAGCTTCATATTCTCGCAGCGAGCGAGTGAGCTTCATCGCAATGGCGGACCTTTTGCTGGTGCCTCATGCCGCTGTGAGCGTAAGCTCTGCACCGTCGCTGTGCACGACTAGGTCTCCATTGCAATCTCAGCAGCGGTCGTCAATTTGGGGCGCGCGACACTTTCAGAGGGCTTGTGTTAGCAAAGGAAGGTTGAATTCCGTGAATGAGAGGGTCGTGCTCAAGGAATCGCGGAAGAACGGCATTCATTGTCAGGTTTCGACCACCCGTTCGGAATCTATCGTGGAACAACAGAAGGCTGACGGCACCTACAGCTCGTTGAGTCAAGTGTGCGCGGTCTTGGGATCACAGTGGGGCGATGAAGGCAAAGGGAAATTAGTCGACATCCTGGCAAAGCGCTACGACGTCGTGGCCCGCTGCCAGGTATTCAAACGGAGAGAGAGCGAGAGCAATTTTTTTTCAAACTGGGAATAATAAGAACAGATAACAAATCTATACGTGAAATGACCACTAAGATCCGGCGGATCTCAATGTGCATTCTAGCTTGAATTCATCCATTTTTACAAGTTAGCGACATGAAAATATTTGCATGTCCTTCTTTATGCTTCTGGATAATTTTTCCCCGTGTGGATGCTTAGCTTTCGGAATGGTTTGTAAAGACAATTGTGAAGTTTGTCTTTGTCTTAGAGACAGTAACTCTGGACTCAACACATCCACGAAGAATAGCCGCGAGTTAGATTCTTGGGATCTGCTGAAATCTTGGACCGATTCTAGACTTTAGATTCTAGTGATCTTTATTTGGTCTTTTAGAGATCTTCTGGTGTGCGTGTTTATCTTACGTTCGTTGGTCAGGATGTGCATCGCTGGTCTAGGGAGGAGCGAATGCGGGGCATACAATCTACAATGACGAGGGAAAGAAATTTGCGCTGCACGTGGTGCCTTCGGGAATTTTGAATGACAATGCTGTCTGCGTGATCGGGAATGGAGTTGTGGTGCACGTGCCTGGTTTCTTTGATGAGATTAGAAATTTGGAAGAAGCCGGAATTGTCTGCGAAGGCAGGCTCTTCGTCTCTGACAGAGCACACATTCTCTTCGATCTTCATCGTTCAGTGGACGCTTTGAGGGAGGCAGAGCTCGCAGGCTCCATGATAGGTACCACCAAGAGAGGAATCGGTCCGTGCTACGCCAGCAAGGCTATCCGCAATGGTATCCGAGTCGGTGATCTTCGTCACTTGGACACCTTCAAGGACAAGCTGGAAGTTTTATTGAAGGACGCAGCGAGTCGCTTTTCAGATTTCACTTATGATCTGGATGCGGAGATGGAGCGATACAAGGTTTTCGCCGAGAGGTTGAAGCCTTACATCACCGACACCGTGCAATTCATCAACGACGCTCACAGACAGAAAAAGAGGATTCTCATCGAAGGTGGTCAGGCTACCATGCTCGACATTGATTTTGGAACTTATCCGTTCGTCACCTCCTCGAACCCGTCGGCTGGTGGAATCTGTACCGGTCTTGGAATTGCACCCAACCGTCTCGGTGACATCGTGGGAGTGGTATGTTGTTCCTTTCAGCCTTGGACATTATTTTCTTCTGATTTATGGCTGATTTATGGCTGCTCGCTCAAATGTTCGAGTCCGCGGATCTTGAGTTTCTTTTTCCACGGCTGTGGAAGGTTTTGACCAGCTAAATCTTGCAGCACTGCAGTACGCCTTTGTAATTTTGCTGTCCCTCGGTCAGTTGTTTAAGACTTTCTCCGTCACGTTATGTAAGGGAGTGTCATTGGGTTTTCTATATCCAAAGTTTTTGCTAAATATTTCCTTTGGCTGCTGACCCCTAGGCCAAGGCTTACACCACCCGAGTTGGTGCGGGACCATACCCTACGGAACTTTTTGGCGAGCAAGGCGAGGCACTTCGTGCAGCCGGACAGGAATACGGAACCACAACTGGTCGACCACGTCGGTGTGGATGGCTGGATATTGTCGCCCTCAAGTTCACTTGCGACATTAACGGATTCACCTCCATCAACCTCACAAAGTTGGACGTCTTCTCCGGATTTGGGAAGTTGAAGTTGGGGGTGGCGTACAAAATTCCTAGCGGAGAGTCAATTCAATATTTTCCTTCTGATTTGAGCGTTTTGGAGTCTGTCAAGGTACGGTTACACTTGCATGAAAAAGCTCACCCTGTAAACACTTTGTAGTAATGTTGCCCAGTACTATTTTCTCATTCACCGTAATATCAACTTATGGATCAATCCTGTTGCTGTATTGCATCCATCCTAATTGCCGGCTGCTTAGAAGACATTACAAAGTTGACTTTTGACAGGCATCGGGCTTCGTATAAGAGATACTGACCGCACGAATATAATGTCCATCTTGTTTATTGTGTTAAGCTTTTGCTGGAGATTTTTCTTTTCAGAAGCTCTTTCATTTGTGAAAATTGCACATGAGTAGAAGTCTTAAGGTTCATGGATGTTATTTTCTGACAGATTGACAGAGCGAGTTGCTAGCTGTCTGACATTCCTATTCTCGTTTATACAGGTTGAGTATGAAGAGTTGCCCGGATGGACAGAAGACATCTCTTCGATCCGCCAGTACAAGGATCTACCAGCTGCAGCTCAGGCTTACGTTGAGAGAATAGAAGAGCTGATCGGATTGCCGGTACAGTTCATTGGTGTCGGCCCTGGTCGTGAGGCCCTTATTGTTAAAGAATGATGTGGGTCTAATTGTTGCATTGTCTAGGTCAATGGTGGGCGTTGAGTCATGATCTGGCATGATATTATTGGATTATCGGTGCAAAAATCACTTGTTTCCTGTGTCTGGAGGAATCATGCGAGAAACTTTAGTCCAGCAAGTGACCAGTAGTGTAGCTTACCATTCATATGGGCGGACAATCGGGTTCAGTGAGTCTGTATCCTATTAAACGTAAACCTCTGCCTCGAGTCAGCACGTTAGGTGTCTTGAAAAGCCTACAAAGGGGTTTTCAGAGTAGAGTTTTGATATCGCGGATGCCGAAATGTCAACTAGTGAGAGTGTAGAAATGACCGTGGTTTCGTGATTCCTTTTCTTTCGCCCCTTCAATTATAGTTGTAGACGAAATTTTGTTCCTGGTTGTAGTAGCAATTTGACCATTTATAGTCACCACCGTTTTCAGTCACTTTTCCTCTTAATCTGTGTCGTAGATTCCTATTAGGAATGTGGAATCAACCCTTCTGACTTCTGCTTTTCAAGCGGGGGAGGTACGAGGCTTCGACCCTCGGACGCCATGTTCATTTTTGTTTGTCTTGTTCACCTTTGCTACCATCCAGCATACTTCTGTAGGAAGCGTTTTGACTTTGCATCCGTGGCCAAGCCTTGAGGAAGTCTTCTTGCAATTGCGATCAAGTGGAGAACTAGTTGTCATGCTCATTGGCTTTGACGCAGTCGCTAATGATTTTAAATCATGGGTATTGAATTGCCGGTTGTAGGAGATGGGTCTTGTAACAAGTTTTTTCCTGCAGAAAAATATGTAGCACTAATTAAAAATAGGATGAAATAAAGGTAATTGTCGTTGAGTGAGACGAGTGGTTCAATACTTTAGGATGGATCACAGCATGTTTCTAATGAATCTCAGCGCCCCTTGCCACAGAAAGTTACTTTCAAGTGGTTTCAATGGCGTCTGATATTCCCTTCATGCTATCAAATAAAAAAATCCCACAAATGTAGGTGTGCAAGAATTGCCTCTCTTCTGAGTCGTGTAAGAGTCTGTCAGGCCTAGTTATTCTTTATACAGGAATCACGAAAGGACATTCTTCGATGAGAAAGTACCAGGAATACGTGGTCCTCGAAAATGGCAAAACTTCTTTTTGGGGAAGAATTGTTCACCTTTGTGTTAAAGAGACTATTACCAACTTATACTGAAGGTTCATGCCGAAGATATCGGAGTCTAGAGGTAAATAGATCAAGCTCGTGGGAGCCAAAGGGTCAAAGGATTAAAAAGTACAATACAAACAACCAAAGTCCAAACCAGGAGAGGACCCTGGTATATAACGCAGGAAAGAGGTGGACCGAGATACTCTAGATTCACACTGTTTTCATCACTTCAATATTATAAAACATGTGCTTATCCAAGAAAACAGGGGCATGATGCGTCGAAAAGATTGTAAACCCTGGACCTTTGATATATAACGCGCGAATACTAGGAATCGAAGTCAGGGTGTAAATTGCCTGCATCGCGGATCATGCACACCTCACATCCGAAACCATAAATAAGGTAGAATGTACAGTCAACGGAGGAGCCACTACTTGTTGTAGTCCACGCGACCTCTCTATTGAAGATGGACGTGTACATCGAAGTATACCAATAGCACGCAGACCACAAACAAAAACTTACAGTATAGAATTCTCGTAATATCCAAGTGAAAGGATGAGAAGACTGTTTTATTGAAATGTACTCAAAGAAAGCTATGTCGTGTCGATTCGCTTACACTCAGTCCTGCAAGGGGTTCATTAAATTTTTTTTCCGTTTCTGTATAATTCGTGACGATTGTGTGGTGAGGTGACTGGAAATATTGTTGTTTACGAATAGACCAAAGTACGTGTGTTTGGATCTCTTCGGACTGCTGTGACTAACGCGTCGAAAGATTTCTTCTGTCATATGCCTACCAGTTTTTATTATTTGAAATGTTTGCTACTCAATTTTCTTGGTTGAAGTAATGACTATCATATTGATTTTTCTAGAAAATTTATACTATGCTAGTCAGTATTAATATCAAAATCACTGATAGATGGTGTTGCATATATTAGTGACTAAGATCTAATTTGAAATTCAAATTTGCCTATAGTTTCACATGTTGATTTTATAGGAAACAAAGCTTTATACTGCTACAACTAGTTACAAATATAGAATTGAATGATAGAAGTTTTTTAAATTTTATAAGATTTAACTTTCCATTAAGAATTGTAATGAATAACGTTTATAAATTTTTGTTCAGTCATAAACTTATATGTTAATGATATAATGAATACATATCATAAAACATATTCAATATTGACATGATATTGTGAAAAATAAAAAATCGAATTATCTTGTGTTATATTTGCAATTAAAGTTGACAATGCACATGTAAGATTAAAATTTTAAGAGTCAAATTTTAGATCATACAAAATTTGATGTATATAAAAATTATAATAATCTGCTTCATTGAAATTAATTCAGTTCTTATTCATCAATTTTAATAAAAGACATATGTTTTTGATGAATTTTTTACCTTTTTAAATGTTTAAATACTTTTATATTTCAAAATCAATCTGATATATCAATCGTTCTATTGATTGCTATAATTGAAAGTGAAATGTTAATAGAAAACACCAAAAAATTTTGAAAAATTCAAATTTGTATATATATATATATATATACAAATATTAAATGAAAATCTAAATCATTATGTGTAAGAAATTAATTTTGATTCACTTTAGTTTGATATTCACAAATTTATTGTCAAAAAATATCATTGTTTCAAATTTTAGTGTAGACAAACTTGTTCTAACAACTTTTTGCAGTAAATTGAATTGAATATAGATGATTCTCATGTGCTTCAATTGCAATGTGCAATAATGAAGTTGAAATGCTTTAACATCAATATGATTAAGTTTGAATAACGATAATAGAAATATAAAACACATCAGTCTGTGATGAATTTTGATGATCATAAAATTTTTGAAGTGCATCGCTACATGAAAGATATAAGTATAATCTTAGCTCTCAAGAAGAAGAAGACACTTATCAAATTTGCTTGTGAATGTTTAGATCTTTACTATTGAAAATATATGAAGGAAGTTTTTTTTAAAAGTATATGATTTTCTCAAGTCAAATATCTATGAAAAAACCAAAATAACAAATTCATGACTTGCGGAAATGAAGGAAGCATACTTGCAACTTGACGGCAAGTAGATCAGCAATTTTTAATATAGACAAAATAAATCTAGAAATATTTCTTTTAATATAGACAACATAAGAATTTAAGTAAAAATTTTGACAAAACAAAATGACGTCCAAGGAATTTGAATATTTCAAAATATGACATTATGAAATTTAATAAATACGATAAGTTTTTGCTTTTAGAAAGATAAATCAAAGATAAACTAAATCTATGAATTTATGCAAGTTTTAAGGTTTAAACCTTAAAACTTGACAATAATCAACAACAACTACGAAATATATCAAGTAGCAAGCTATGAGTATTATTATATTTGCTATGATTATTATATTATTAATATTTATAACATTCACATTTAAATGAAATATATGAGTTTAATATTTGTATTTTTTATTTAAGTATTTTAAAATAATAATTAATATAAATAATAAATAAATAGATTTTATGTCTTCTTGAAAGTAAGAAGTTGAAGATAAAATATTTAACTACAAAATCTAAGATCACATTGATCATTATCAATTTAAACAGGTAACATAAGAATAAATTCAATTGCATATTGATCAAATTTTCAAAAAGTAAGAATTGAAAAAGTAATTATTGTACATGAATGTAACACTAAAATTTAAAGGAAAAATCATTTGAAGATGAAAATATAAATTTTGAAGATGAGAGATACCAATAGTGGTTAAATTTTTTTTTAAATAGCTGAAATCAATAAATACAAGTAGATAAGATCTCATATCCACTATCCAATATTTTGTTTTTTTATTGTTGATATGATGGATATATCTAATGAGCACACGGATTGCTAACGTATGGTTTTCAACTAGCACACTCAATCCTTACTTAGTATAACATTAGGATTTAGAGAGAAATTCAATCGAAGATGAAAACGTAAACTTTGAAAATTAGAGATACCAACAATGATTATGCTCTCCTTCATATATCTATCACCAACAAATACAAGGAGTTAATGTCTTATTCCCATCATCGATCCAAGTCCTAGTGTATGGATGGCGTGGCGGATAATACTAACTATCACACAGATTGCTGACGTGACGCTCCCAACTAACACACTCAATACTTAATTAACATGCACACGGATCGTTGATGTGACGTTGTCAACTAACACATCTACTCTCTACCTACCAAGTATGCAGATTGCTGACGTGGTAGCTAATCACTAGTGCGTGCTAAAGTATTTATATCAACATTTAGAGTAATCTCTACTTTGATTCTAACTAACTAAAAATGGTTACATCTAAAAAAACACACGTTTTGATGAGGAGTCATTTCCATTCAACACTTTTATATTGAAAGACATTCACTTTCTCCGGATATACCAAAATTAACAATCACAATGACATTAGACGCATGTATATTTTATTGCTCAAACAATCAAGCTGAATAGATACATTCACATATAAATAAAGTAATCATTTATGAATATAACAAGTCAACAAAAGATTTATAGCAAGAAAAATATTTGACTAGTGTGATTGAACAACTATATTACATGATCAAACCAAAATACAATAATAGATCATTAACAAAACAAAAAATATAGATCATTTTCATAATATAGGAAATAATCTTATATAATGATAAAATTTTACATCTATTAGAGCACATTGTGTGTGTATTTCATTTAATTTGTGCACAAAATATGAAATGAAAACTAGTCTATCTTCTTAATTTTTTAAGAATTTTTTTGATGATGTCATTATTACTATCATTATCATAAGACATACAAACTCTCACCTGCACATTTGACATATTTTTTTAGTTCAATGTATGAAAATTGTGTTAAAATTGCTTAAACATTAAAATTTTCAAAACATTATTCACTTTTTATGATATTAATATTTAAATTTAACATAAATATTTAAATATTATTTTGAATGCATAAGTAAAAAATCTTTAATCATATCTATAAATATAAATAAATATATAAACTAGCTTTTTTTCCACCCAAGTATGTTGTTAAGTATACATACAATGTAGAAAAAGTAGCAATCATGTGTAAAAAACAAATGAACAGATTAATAATACAGGAGAAAATATATCCAAAATTTATGAATTGGCTTGTAAAATAGTTATTAAATTTGAAAGACAAAAAATATATGCACTATGTGAATAACATGGCTCACAATCATTGGATATCAACTACGCTATTAGAATGCATGAATAATATATGGATATAGTATACATTAATCAAAGTTAAAAATTACTTAAATTTATATTAAATAAATTGGTCATTAAGTCTTTTCTATCAAGATAAAAAATTCAAGTCAAGTAATTCAATTTCAATATGCATGAATTTATCTACTAGGTTTACAATAAGAATATTATTTTATTAAATTTGGATACAAATATAATATGATCAACACTTTTAATATATAAATATAAATAATAGGCGTTATGCTTTTTCTATCAAGAAACACTTTATAACATTCTAATTCTTTTTTGCATCTACATTCTGTTAAAATCATTGATAAAGATCAAAGTAAATCATCACGCAAAAAAGTAATGCATATCATAGATTTTTCTATCCATATATACATGCTACATCAAAATACATTTACTCAAGTCTTCAATGTTAAGATACATTGAGATCATTCTACAAATTAGTCTTCAAGACAAAAGTGTTTTATTATACCATGATTTAATTTGACAACCAATATGTGATAAATTGAAACTTGAAGTTTATTATTTTTTAAATTTCAAAATTCATGAATATTATTATGATAATATTACCAGAAATTTTTTATCATAAATTTATGTTAGAAAGTTA